TGTTATGTCTACTTTCTTTCTTTACTCGGTTATCAGCGAGACAGCAACGTGATGGTATGACAACAGAACGGAACAAAAGAATAATCCCCCTTCACATGGAATCGAACCATGTATCTCCTGCTTTCCGGGCAGACGTATTAACCACTGTACTAGAAAAGAGTACTCATCATTCGTTTCGTTCCGTCTTATGATCGAAGGGGAACACTTCGGTCATAACAGATAAATAATCTTAGATTTGTATCAGAATGATTAATTTACGTTGGGTAACATTTTAACAATGTATTTCTTTGATGGAAAAAAAAAGATAAATTCATTTTTGTAGAGAACCATTCCTAACATGAAATCTCAATTTATGCTTTCGCTTGATCTCATCGACTATGATGAGAAAAATATTTTACAAGCTTATATTGATGGTGATATTTCATGCTCATACATTGAGATTTTGTTATGTGTGTTGATACATACATATGGAATTGTTATGATTTTGAAAATCTCCGAACGATCTGAATGCTCGTTTTATTGAAACGTTTTTAAGCATTAAAAAGAAAAACTTGAGCAAATTATTTTAATAAAACTTTCTTATCTAAACGTTTTTCTAGATGACTTTAAAAGAATGATTATATGACTAAACTTGCCGAAACGAAGCAAAATTTAGTTTTACTTTTAAAAAGCTCTATACTAATATAGTTAGATGTTTTTATAACATACCTTATTGAATAGATCTTGTTCTCAGTCACTAAATCATTTCATTCGTACTTGCTCTAAACAAAAAAAAACACAATATTATCAAGAATACAAAATTACATCTTATTAGCTATTTTATTCAAGAAGAATGTTTCCAGAAATAGATAATATTATTGAATTTATGCTAGTAAAACCAAATACTATATTAGTTTATTTACATCTCACACGTTTGCTCGCATAAACGTCAGTATACCATCAGTAGATTGCTAGTCAGAGAATAGTCAATCGTTCAAGTACTAAACTACCGGCAGCTAAGCATCGGAACCACCATGGTTGAGTGGCTGCATTGTTTTACACATATCCAGTAGATACTGCATGCAAAACTCAATACCATCGGCTATAGAATGACTCTCCATAAATCACTAATGACTATTTGTTTCGGATAACATGTCCGATAGTATGCCGACTAAGTTGTAACATACATCTGCTCTTGTAGATAGTTAGTTTGTGGGAAGCTCAAGCAGTTGAACGCAAGAACTCTGCTTCAGGTTGACCTTCTGTCCAGGGTTACAGCTACTCATAGTCGTGGAGAAAATATCGTACTATTGAATTTGCAACTAGATAGCTCTCTATATCGCACGGTAGCTAAAAGACAGGGATATTGTTCTTCTTTCTAACTGTCAATATGGTGCATATTTTATCGAACGATTTATCAATAGTTTTAGCTCGGTTCGAATCATATGGGTCGCTATTTATTTACAATGAAAAATGGAACTCTCTGAAACAGGTTTTTCATATTTAGATTAAAATCAAAAGATGCTTGATCTCACCAGTTATAAATTTATCTTTGAATGATTTAAATTTCTTGAATGTTTTTATTAATGTAACAAAGACTGGTCTGATTAATTTTCATCGGGATTTTCAATAAACATAATATCGATATTTCACTTTCATAGTGGAATTTCTATTGTTCATCTTTTCTTAGTAGATAGCCACAATAAGTTGAATAATCAGGAATCAATTTCTACAGAAAAGAAAATCAATGAGTATAAACAAATATGTTGTTGTTTTTTTCAAATGATAATGATCTTACGAACAAACGAAAGCAAAAAGTTTATGCTGTGTGTTTAATGTTGCAAAAGAATTTTTTGTGTTTTTACATAATAACAAATTATAGAATTTAAAGAAATAAATAAATGAATGAATAAGAACGAAAAAATGTTAAGACGAAAAGAAAACGAAGCACATCGTTTCGAAAATGAGATTTCGAAGAAAGAAAAAACAGATCAAGTTGACGGTACAGACAATCAGTTAGGCCACACACACGCATTCAAATAGAAAATATATTTATTAGTCAAAAGACATACGAATAAAACCGGAGAAAAAACTACAGTTTATATGTTGTTATTTCATCTGTTTGTTTTTATCGAACTGAAGGTGGTGGTGTTAAAAGGGAAAAATATTGATGCAATGTATCTTTGATTGCATTACAAATTTGTGGAGATGGTGATGTTGTACATTCAACAAGACACGGATACAATGCAATCAATTGATTCCATATATTGATTTCAACTAAAACATAGAAATGAATTTATTTTAAAATTTTTTGAATTTATAAATTCATACCTGAATCTTTCGGAGCTCGTTTTAATGCACCAATCAATGTGCTTAATGCTTTAAGTACGGAAATCATTTCAGCTGTGCGTGGCCTAAAAAAAAATACTATTCGTACTCCATATGAAATCGATCATAAAAACAGCAATACATTCAAAAAAATATTAACTCACACACTTCAATCTTACATCGAACAATGCAACTAAACACCTGATTGGAACAATATGAAAGGCTAATTCAAATTAAATATTTATCTCAATTCTATATTCTGATAATATTTTTTAGCATGCATTAATTCCTGTCCAATGGTTGGCTGTTTTTTTTTAGTATTCTAAGCTCTAAAAAAAATTATTAATTATGATAAATATTATATTTTTATGTTTTGTTTTTAATAGCGTAGAAACTTTTCTAGAGAACCCTAAATGAAATTTCATGTGTATATAATCATGCATTTACAGTGCTATGAAGTCATATTTAGCTTGGCTTTTTTTTAAAAAAAAGCTTTTTAAATATTTTTAAGGGAGAAAAAGACTTACGAAAAAGGAGTTAAGCTGTTGTTATTGTAATTGAATGCTCCAGCAACTGGTTCAAGATTATCACTACTGCAAAAAAGTCAATATTCAAGCCTCACTCAATAATTTGTATGTTTACTATTTTACTTATCGAAGAAAGAAAAAGATCTTCTCTTTTAAATTAAAGAAAGAAAAAAAGTCTGAAGAATTTTTCGTACCGTGGTAATGGACATTTGCCATGTAGACGTTCATCATGTGCATATTTTTGTAAAATTTCTTTACAACGACTTAACATTGAACTTAGTGCAAGACGAGTTATGACAACATTGTCATTTGATGATGATGAATCGTTTATAAATGAATATTTGAGTAAAGTTTCAAAACATATTTTAGAAAATTCTTCACGTAATCGACGAGCAGAATCAATATCTAATATTAGAAATAGACAAACAAAAATCGTCGTTATAATGAAACGAAGATACAAGAATAAAAAAACTTTTGTTTCTCCTTTCATTATGAGTAAAAATCAAGGACATTTTATTTTATTATTTATCGATATGAAACAATACTGGCTTATGAATTTTTTCGATGAAACATATTTTGATATATGTTTTTTTTGTCAATTAAGGACATTTTGAGCGAGTAATAGTATTCGACGTGAGGTTTCTTAATTCAACTAGATGTGACCAGAGCGCGTTTCTAATGATGCTTTATATTCTTTTGCACTAATATCATGCTTCATTGAATTACATTCTTTTCGCTAAAAGCTCAGCTCGCTCTTGATAAACATGCTATTAATTGTGAAGGACTTATTTTATGAGACACGATCTAAACGGTGCGTTGCAGTATCAAGATAAAAAATTTGAACCTTTCCTCATACATCATAACAGACGAAATCATGGAAATGTCGCAGACCGTATATTAATGACGTTTCGTTACAATACAGGATATTGTAAAAGTATGAACGAGAAAAAAAAGTGAATAGCTCCTCAGTAATTCAATGGATTTACATATTATTTTTACAGTTTGATCACATATCCATTTAAGGTTTCAGATTAACTGTCTGCGTTTATAGAAGTCAGAATTAAGATAGTTTTACTGATACGTACCTTCGAGTCAGCTACCACTATAAAATGAAAGCTATAAGTCGTATCAAGCAAAAACAAACCAGCTGAATCTTCTAATACAACTACATTTCAGTGATTTTGTGAAACTGATATTGTCGAAAACCTATCACGTTGGGCAAGACCTACAAAAAGTCATTACATTACC